TTGTTTGTTTGTTTGTCTGTCTGTCTATCTGTTTGTCTGTCCGTCTATCTGTCTGTCTGGTCTATTTTTCTTTTTTTGTCTGTCTGGTCTGTCCTATCCATCTTTCTTTCTGTGTGTCTATATCTAGTTGTATCTCTGCTGTCTCTATCTATCTGTCTGTCTGTCTATCTTGTTCTGTCTGGGTCTTGTTTTCTTGTCTGACTGTCTTTTTGTTTGTCTATCTGTCTGTTAGTCTATTGTTGTTTTGTCTGTCTGTCTGTCTGTCTGTCTGTCTATGTCTGTCTGTCTGTTTGTCTTATTTTGTCTGTCTATATCCATCTGTTTGTCTGTCTGTCTGTCTGTTTGTTTGTTTTGTCTGTCTGTTTGTCTGTCTGTCTGTTTATTTGTCTGTGTGTTATCTGTCTTTTTGTCTGTCTGTCTGTCTGTCTGTCTATACTGTATATCTATCTATCCCCCCCCCCACACACACAAAAATACACATCTATTATTTCAGCCCACACTTCTACTGCTGCCAAGAACCAGGTCTAAACTAGAATGTCCCATCAACCACCTAGTAACAAGCCAGAACCTCTAGCGACTCCCCAGATACCACATAGAAGACTTAGCAACCACCAGCTAGCCGTTAGCAACCACTGCAAATCACCTTGGTTCATTATGTTAAGTTGATGGTAGAGACAATGTATTCAAACTTCTGATTTGTCTGCTCTTCTTCACTCTTGCCACGGGATGGAATTAGACGCCGTCAGGCTGTGGTTTGCGTGATACATCACAACTAATAACGCTGAGGGTAATGTCACAACAATGTTCTGGCTCTTTTTATAGGTGCATGCATAGCTGAAAGAAAACAGGCTGAGATTGCTTGGAGGAGAGATGTTGGGAATACAGGCGAGCAGGCTAATGTTCAGCCAGCGCACATAAACCACAGGCTACTGCTCACACATGACACCACAGATTAATGGTCAATTCGCTCCCGGCTCTTTGCAAAACCATTAGTGTGTGCTCCTGTGTTTTATGGTTGTATATGAGTTCACATGCTTTCATTTAGACTATATGTGAGCATCAATACGGCCGTTCAGATGTGCGCACACTCATCTTAACAGACCATGGTGGTATTCTATCTTCTACTTTAATTCGCTTCCCTTTTTCTGTTCAGTGTCCTTTATTTGAAGACCACCTGGCCCCATTCCAAACGCATAAAGACAGGAAACTGCTATTGCAGGCCAAATCTAAAACTTCCCAGTTGGCCCTGTCTGCACTAATAGCTTCGCCGTGTGTCCTTTAACATGGAAATCATGCCGTTTTGCATAATGAGGACGACAAGGATCGATTTCCACAGATCGAAGCCGTTCTTATCATGCATCAGTACTAGGCGAGCGAGTCTAGCATAGCGCTGAAATTATCTTCAGGCCATCTTCGTGTCCTACACATGCCAGGACCACACAGGAAATAAGGAGTACATCTTGTTTTTGGAGGTCTGTTTGTCCTTTGCTGTGGAAACAGGTGGCGAGCTGCGATAAGCAAATGCGCTGCTGATGGCACGTCACAAAGAAGGTTGCTAACGTTGGCTTTGAGGACGAGGAGAGAACGTCCACGTATGCGCATGCAGAGCGTGAGGAGAGGGGCGGGTGGTTGCGTGGGTGGTGCCAGCTGTAAAATCCCATGCACCGCCTGCTGTGCCTCCAACCCCCCGCTTTAATCAACAGTGGGGTCTGTAGGATCAGCACACTTGGGCCAGGGAGTTGCTAGCTAAATGAGCGGCACAAGACTCCCACACAGCACATCTGCTGCTATAATGGAGGTCAGGAGCAATCTGATATGCTCCAGTAATAAGCTGCTGTTTTTTAAAGTGTCTTTTTATCAAAGATGATGTTAAAATATTTACTTTATTGTTTAAGATAATGGTTGAGTGTCCAAAGAGTACAAATGGGGCGGAAGGGGCCATTCACACTAGAGCCAGACCGATATATCGGCAGACCGATATTATCGGACGATATTAGGCATTTTCCAAACTATCGGTATCGGCCGATATTAGGCATTTTCCAAACTATCGGTATCGGCAGTTATAATGGCCGATAAATGAATATTTCAAAAATAAAATAAAAACGGATGAAACACGCTTGAACCATGTCATGAGTGTTGGAGTTGTATAGTTTGTCCACCAGAGGGCACTCTACACCGTTCCTGTTGGCAACACTCGTTGAGTTGGGCACGATACATACATTGCTTGAATAACAATTAAAAGAACATCCCCATCAGTTCTCTTAACTTAAATAAGCATTACAAAATTTGTGACTATTATGTCCAGTTTAAAAAAAATAAATAAATAAAATATCGGCGATATATCGGAATATCAGATTTTAAAACCCAAAAATATTTTTATCGGTATCGGACTTCAAAATCTTTTATCGGTTGGGCTCTAATTCACACAAAACATGCAGGGTAGGGAAATGAAGAAAAAAAAGCACAGTCTAGAGGCGCATTTTTTAAAAGTTGAACTTTGAACTTTAGAGCATAGAAAAACCATGGAAAAGTCATGCAATGGAATCGCTGTTTTTAATTAGCTCCTAGCTAAAGTCATTTTCAAAATAGTTTTTCCAGATATTTTAACAGTGTAATGCTATGAATGCTATGCTTTTGTCACAATGTCATTTTACAATGTCTTTCTTTTAATGTCCTGTTAATTGCTGTTGTTTATTACGAATCACTTAGGGTACGTTTACACGGCAACAATGTACCAAAAAACTGAAACGTTTTTCGCTTACAGACGACAACGTTGTCAAAATGATGGTTCACACAGATCTGTGTAAACGTTGTATTATTCATGCCAGGCCAGTAGATGGCGATGTGATGGAAATGGCAAATGTTGTTAAAAAAATCTCATAATTTGCTAAAAAGGTTTTACGCTCGCTTGAAATGGTTTTTGACTTGTGTGAAGATTGAAACGCATTTGCCTGATAAATTCGGACGTAGCGAACATTAAACCCACGTGACTAATCGGTTGTGTCTGTTGATAGTGTTTTATTTACTGTTGGTTACTAGGTTACACATTTTAAAATGAATTAGTTCTGTTCATAGTTCAAAAAATGAACTAGTTCATTCATAGTTTGATTTTTCCCATCCTCACCGACCTCTTCATAAAATCTGTTTAAATGATCATACGACGCCTCCTTGCTCGCTGCTTTGTCGACGGCGGCAGTGGTGCGACACTGGTGTCTTGTGTTGCCAGATTTGGTGTTTTTTCGCTACATAGTAAGGCCTGTTTCGCCTGGAAGGCTCTATAGAAATCTGTACGAAGTCAAAGTGAGAGATGGTGTGTTCACAGACACCAGAATGAATGCGTTCACAGTAATGTTCATCAGGCAGTAATACAGTACATTCAGTTCACGTTCGCCCAAAATATGAACGCGTTCATTGTAGGTTACCAATAACACCATTGTCAACTCGAACAACTTGATGGAACCGCACCTATTTTGCATTTGTTTTGTTTTTTTTTTGTTTGTTTTTTGTGATTTTTGAAAAGAGTTGCTTCATTTTTGGATGTCAAGGTTTTGTAGGTAACACAGAGACAATAACGGTATTGTTTTCAAAAACTTGCACTTTGAAACCTGTTTTCAAAAGTTTGCGTTTTTAGGTGCCCAAAACACTGCTGTTGATGTGTAAATGAATGGCCAAAACACACACAAAAATCAATTTTTAGTTGAAAACAGGTTTTAGAGTAAATTTGTTTAATGACATGTGAGTTTTTATAGAAATATGGATAAAAGATGGAAAATTGCTGCATGTGTGAATGTGAAATGTGGTATATTTACAAAAAAAATGTGATTTAATGGGGTTTTATGGTTGAAAGTATTGTAGTTGTCTTTTAATAATTTAGTAGCTAACAATTATTATTATTATGAGTAGTTTGTAGTTTGGTAAGTTTAACAATGGCAATCGGGGGACGGATCAGAAGGGAATGTTTGTGGAATCTTGTTAGGAAAAACGCTCTTATTTTCGCTAATATGGTTTGGGGCCGCTATAGTGCGAAAATGATAATGCAGAAAAAGGCAAGTAGGATGGACGATTGTGGATGATGTGCTGAAAGGACTTGTGTTGGGATTTTGGGGACGTCA